TGTTTGATCAAATCTGCTTAGGTTCGAAATTACGAAAATTCACCAAAAAAAGAATTTTTTGCGTCATAAAAAATTTTGTTCTAAATTTGGCATTTGGCATATACTTCACAAGAGCGCGCAGAAATCACCATTATGAGATTGATGTTTGATCAAATCTGCTTAAGTTCGAAACTTACGAAAAATCATCAAAAAAAGAATTTTTTGCGTCATAAAAAATTTTGTTCTAAATTTGGCATTTGCCATATACTTCACAAGAGTGCGCAGAAATCACCTTTAAAACTCGATTTAAATTTGTATGTGATTTTCAATTAATTATTTATCTTCCTCATGTTTGCGTGCGAGTCATGGGCGTTCATCAGTGTTCAACTTAATTAAATTAAGTCTTTTATTTTTTTTATAGTGTTAGTGTACTTTAATTAACTTTCCCTAGCGAGATTAACTAGCAAATTGCTAGTCTTTCTATTCTACTACTTGCAATTTACTAGTTATTATTAAAACAACTTACTATTAGCAAATTACACTTGCTATTTAATTGCAAATTACTAGCAAATTACCATGTAAAATGTTTGATCAAATCTGCTTAAGTTCAAAACTTACGAAAAATCTAAAAAAAAGAATTTTTTGCGTCATAAAAAATTTTGTTCTAAATTTGGCATTTGCCATATACTTCACAAGAGCGCGCAGAAATCACCATTATGAGATTGATGTTTGATCAAATCTGCTTAAGTTCGAAACTTACGAAAAATCTAAAAAAAAAAGAATTTTTTGCGTCATAAAAAATTTTGTTCTAAATTTGGCATTTGGCATATACTTCACAAGAGTGCGCAGAAATCACCTTTAAAAATCGATCCAAATTTGTATGTGATTTTCAATTAGCAAATTGCTAGTCTTTCTATTCTACTACTTGCAATTTACTAGTTATTATTAAAACAACTTACTATTAGCAAATTACACTTGCTTTTTAATTGCAAATTACTAGCAAATTACCATGTAAAATGTTTGATCAAATCTGCTTAAGTTCGAAACTTACGTAAAATCATCAAAAAAATAATTTTTTGCGTCATAAAAAATTTTGTTCTAAATTTGGCATTTGCCATATACTTCACAAGAGCGCGCAGAAATCACCATTATGAGATTGATGTTTGATCAAATCTGCTTAAGTTCGAAACTTACGAAAAATCTAAAAAAAAGAATTTTTTGCGTCATAAAAAATTTTGTTCTAAATTTGGCATTTGCCATATACTTCACAAGAGCGCGCAGAAATCACCATTATGAGATTGATGTTTGATCAAATCTGCTTAAGTTCGAAACTTACGAAAAATCTAAAAAAAATAATTTTTTGCGTCATAAAAAATTTTGTTCTAAATTTGGCATTTGCCATATACTTCACAAGAGCGCGCAGAAATCACCATTATGAGATTGATGTTTGATCAAATCTGCTTAAGTTCGAAACTTACGAAAAATCATCAAAAAAAGAATTTTTTGCGTCATAAAAAATTTTGTTCTAAATTTGGCATTTGGCATATACTTCACAAGAGCGCGCAGAAATTACCATTATGAGATTGATGTTTGATCAAATCTGCTTAAGTTCGAAACTTACGAAAAATCATCAAAAAAAGAATTTTTTGCGTCATAAAAAATTTTGTTCTAAATTTGGCATTTGGCATATACTTCACAAGATAGCGCAGAAATCACCTTTAAACCTCGATCCAAATTTGTATGTGTTTCAATTAATTATTTATCTTCCTCAGGTTTGCGTGCGAGTAATGGGCTTTCATCAGTGTTCAACTTAATTAAATTAAGTCTTTTATTTTTTTTCATAGTGTTAGTGTACTTTAAATAAGTACACACTAATACTTTTACAATAATTTACACAAATAAGAAAAATCAAAAGAACACGTGGATATCAAAGGTTATATTCATTTAAATTTTTTACAAATTTGCTAGTAAATTACTAGTTAAATTGTAAGCGAATTGACTAGTAAATTAGCAAGTGGAAATGTCGGTCTTCGGCGAAGATTTGAACTTGGATTTTGACTAGTAAATAGCAAGTAGCAAGTAGCAAATTACTAGTAAATTTCTATTTTACTTCCCTTGAATACATTCTGATAGAGCTTAAATATCTGAATGATGTGATACTAAGGGATAAGGTTATGTCTGATTGTCAGACCTAGCAAGCTTACTATACACCACTGAAAACTCAAATCGAATCCAGCACCATGACAGAGTTACATCAGCTTGGTGCCGGATTTCTATTTGATTAACCGACTTGTGCTTTTCGGGAAAGATCATAAGCTCAGAAAAATTACGAGAAGATATATAAATCTGATCCTACCAACATGTTAAGAGATAGTAATTAAAATTTATCAAAAAGTATTGAGAACCCGAAACAAAACTTCTAAAATCTAAAATTCGAAATTTATAATTCAAAATATAAATTCAATGAAACAATCCCCATCATCCAATAAATATCACAAAAATAAAGTTTTGCCAACAAAAAACAAAATAATGTCCAGCATGAAAATATTGACATAAAGAAGAGAGAAAGATAAACTCATTAAATGAATAAAATCGTAATAAAATTGTCGTCAAATCGAATTAAAATTTCATTAAGCAAACATCGAAATTATTTAAATAATCAAATTTCATATCAATCAAACAATTTCGATTGGACATAACCGACAACAGGTTGTATAGTCAACATTAAACAGAACAAAAATGTAAAAAGAGATTCCAAACAGAAATAAATGGTAGATCTTTAATCAATGAGATCGACTTCGGCATCTTGTGCTTTGAAATTGAATATTTTTAAATGTTTTTTTTCTCTCTTTTCTTTTTTTGTGTCTCTTGTTCCTCTTAATTTTATGAATTTTGATAATAATGGGACATTTTATACCGTAGATATTTTCTGAATATCGTGATATATATCACATGTTGACAATTTTAGAAAATTCTACAAAAATTTGCATGTTTTATTAATCATTATACACTGGATCTTAAGTTAAAGATGGGATAACAATTTGGAAATGATCAAAGCGTAATTTCGAGATGGTTCGCTAATTATCTATACTTATAATCTAATATTAATCGTTATTCGTGTATTACGTAATGCTTACTTATTGTGTAAGATAAATCAATGTTGAAACTTACCTATTGACACCCTTGGAATGCTTAAAAATGTTGCTCTCAATTATTGTAAAGGAGTGAACTGTATTCAATGACTAATTTAAATAACGTTTTAATTACTATTAAAGTTTTAACAAAGAACAACATTTCAATGATCACTGCAATTGAATTTATTATTAAAAGTGTTAATTGTGCATATTGCTATCATTCTTACTGATTTCTTCAAGATTCTTTAATTATCTCTAGAACTGAATCCTGATTTGTCTTCATTTTAAAGGAAGGAACTGATTGGCTATCATTTGATCAGTTTTCTGAAATTCAGCGACTCTTATAAATTTTTCTAGATTTTCTGGAAGTCTCATTAAGTAAATGCTTGTTGGAATTTGGTACTAAGCAGCTGCCCCTTGGTTCTAAGTATGCTATTCGCTTAAATGAATTGAAAACAATCTTAAAATGTAAAGCAAATCACTCCGAAAATATTAAATAATGCAGTTGCTCATAATTTTGATTCGAAACTCTAGTCTCGTAGCCAAAGCAGTGAAGGAGTCAATATTCAGCATCTAGCCATTAATTTAATTTGTCTGAAATATTTATCAAAAGAGAAAATTTCTCAAAATGTGCCAAAGCCATTTTGGATTTCAATCTAATATTATTCAAGACAAGAACAGCACAAAGACTCATCGATTCCAATGAAATTTCTCATTCACGCAACGATGTGTACTTGCTGTTTATTTTCTCTTACTCGAATTTTTGCTGTGTTTGATTATTATTCGTATGGGCATTTACAATATCACTGAAGTAGAATATGAAGTAAGAAGGTAAACATGTGGGGGCGAAAATGAAATGAAACGAGTATGAAAAAGGTAAAAGGCAACAAAATAAAAATTGTTGTAAAATTTTTTTTGCAGCATTTTACAAATGAAAACGGTAATAAATAATGGTGGAACGATGATTCCAACATGGGTGGTTTTGTGCATTTAATATTGTGTACTTTACCTGAAATCCTTTTAAAAACATTAAGTCAGAGAGGAATGAAAAGAGACTTTTTGTGATCTTTTGTATCTGTTCCACTGATATATCTCTCGTTTTTTTGTTTATTGAATGATATTGAACGTAAGCAACAAGCAGTGTAAAGAATATGTTAAAGAATAAAAAAATAATAATTTACCATTTAACAATTGTGGAATAAAGAAGTTAAAGTTAGCTTTAAAATGCTCAAAGATCGTTTAATCGATGATAATCCTTTTAGCCAATTTTATAAATTTGTATTCAAATTAAAGTAAATGCTGTAGCTAATGTAATTTCTGCAACTTTATGTCATCGACTTTTTGTGATAAATTTGACAACATTAAATATGCCATTTAATCTGTTGGCTGTTGAGTTTGGGTTCCTGATTGTTTGTTTTATTTCACTCAAGACGGGAAAAAGAGAGACAAAAAAGGTCGTAACTTGTTGAGGCGTCAGCTTTATCACTTCCGTTTTCATCGTGACAGGTGTTTATTTACAATAATAATGGTCAGTGATAAAAGATTTATTTTTTCAAGGTATCTTCTAGACTTTATTGACATTTAATTTTGTTTGGTTAATTTTAGAATTTTTCAGAATTAAGTCTGGTTCTTTTTCAGGAACAAATTTATATTGAATTCTATTTATTTATTTCAAACTATATCCGATTCAATCTAATCGACTTCGAATCTTGATAATCTAGTACAACAATTGAATTTAATTTGTTAACAATAGAAAAAGTTAAAACCAACTATAGCCCTTATTAAGATCAATCCGGATATCGAAACCATAGTTTCGAAACTAATCAAATTGATTTTTGTTCATTATTGAAAATTTTTCCTGTCAAATTCAATTTCTTCTCTATAATTCTAAGTGTCAGCTAAACTTTCTGTTGATATTCCTGATTCATCATTCTGCAAATAGTTTTTAATTCTGAACTTTTCAATTAACTCTGGACTTAGTTTTACAACAGGCTCGGTTGAGTCTTTCAATTCTGCATGTACTTTTGCATTTATTCTTTTCTTTGGCTTGAAAAGCATGTAAATATGTTCAGCAATAAATCCAATAAATGAGATGAGACAAAATCCAAGCCAAATATAAAATCCAAATGAAAGATCATCAAAAGTAAAAACTTTTGGAATCTTGTCATCAATGTGAACTATTCTAAATTTTTTGGTATAATATTTTTCAATAAGATGATTCATAACTCCAGTTGGGATCAAATCATCGATTATTTTGTTAAACATTCGGAAATAAAATACAGGACCAATAAATATGAATGCATCATAAGCACTAGCTACTACAGTGTCTAACTTAATCCATTTTTGGTCTGGTTGTATTTTCAATTTTAGGTAGAAATTTATATAAAATTCATCAACAGAAAGTGCCATTCTTGCTGTAGAGTTTTGCGATTGTGTCATAAATGCTTCAAAGTAATCTACTGAGCTTAATGTGGTGATGTTGGGCCTGTTCAGAGAAATCAATGGCATTTGCGTTTAAAAAAATAATCATAATAAAGCAGGACAATCCAGTCCCAATCAAATTATAAATAATGCTTACCATCTTTCAAATCCGTTGCTTCCTTCAGTCACTTGTGTTAGTGATTTTATTGCATAAACATTGTAGTTTCTATCGATCAAATCGCTAAATGTCTTTGGTGGAGGACGTCTTGGCTCACTTGTCATGAACTCAAAAAATTTACTTTGAAAGCATGTCCGGAAAATCAAACAAAAATAAATAAAAATCATCAAAATAAATCTTGAGAAGTTTTTGTTTGGTAATTGCGTCTGTGAGATTCCAAAAAATATACTAATGACATTCCAAATTGGTGTCTCAATCGCATGTCCATAAACAAGGTTCTGAGTTGACTTTGACAGTCGATTAATAATGAAAATTGTGACGAATGTCATTAAAAATGTAACAAATATTAAGATCCACGTATAAAGGTCAAACGGTAAAATGAATTTTTCATATGCTGTATATTTTTCAGATGGAGTGACATACATTAAAACATCTAAATTTGCCACTACTTTAGTAACAGTTATATGATGTGTAAATTCAGCAAGTGGGGAAATTTGAAAAAATACATTTGGTGACTTTACAATGCCATTTACTTTAAAAACTCGCACGTCATTTTGGATAGACTTTATCCAATTTGGTTCCATAATGACAAGTTGAAAATATACAGAAAAATTATGAAGTTTTGATGCAATATTGAAAATAACTGGTGTGATTCCATAGATTGTGTACTGACTTTCACCAAAGAGATTTTCAATGTAAGCATATCCAGATGTATATTGAATTGTTCTATCAATATCCTGGATTGGAATCATCATGACCAATTCACAATTGTGATACTCGAGAAATTTTTCATAATTTTGAAGTTTTTTGTTCCATTTTTGAGTTTCCTTATTGAAGCTATTGAGCTTAATGAAATGTGGTCTATTACATCCATATGGACTATACCATTCTACAGTTGATAATGTTACTGTGTCTGCCTCATTTGTGATGAAAAATGTATATTGAAGAACTGAAGCACCTTGTACAGGCATTTCAGAATAGTAAATTGGGAAACGCCACAATTTTAGCATGTCAAAAGTTAAGGAAGGAATGACAGCAACAAAGAAAATTGGTTTCTTTAAATCACGAGCAACTTCAAACTACTATTCAATAAAAGAAAAATCTTCAAAATATTCCATAAATAGGAAATGTGATGTCGATGGATATCGTAATCCATCAAGATAAGATCTGACCCAGTAACGAAATCTTTCGGCTATTGATGACAAGAACTCAGTCAAAACATCATTCAAAAAAATTGAACTTATTTTGAAATTGAAAATACGAAGGTGAAACTTTTCGTGTACAAGGAACACATCCACAAAATCATTTAGAACTTTCGAGATTATTGAAATGTCTGGATCCTTCTGGAAATGTCTTAAAGAGCTTTCACAAGTTATTAAATTTAATGCAACGATCACAACAAATAGACATAAATGCACATTACAGGACATTTTTAAAAAAATATATGTTTTAAGTTCAGTTTTTTTAAAGAGGTGTCTCAGCAAAGCTTAATATTTAACTATTGTTCGAACTGTTTTGAACATTTGATGACTTTATAATTTTTTCAATAATAGTTCAATACATGAAGATTACATGCCCTTTGCGTGCAGTAAATGTAACTCAATATACAAATTCAATTGAACTTTTAAAAAAATTAATTTTACTCCAATTAGGGGTCGTTCACTTATGACGTCCATCAAGAAAACCCCATCTGTCATAAAACTGTCACAGATTTCAATACCCTCCCCCCGCCTTGTGACGTCCATTCCAAGACACAAAAAAATGTTGGACGTCATTAGTGAACGACCCCTTATGTAAATTAATCATTTAAAGATGACGAAAAAATTGTGAAATTTCAAACAAGAAAAGTCTATAAATAATGCCAAAATTTTAAAGAGGCAGGAATTTCCAAGTGACATTCTGGGATGAACCTAAAAATTGCATTTAAAATGGATGTCATTTATGACTGGTTCCTAAATGATATTTTTCTTTAATTGGCTCTAATTACAAAAAATAATACTTATGATGCATGTGTTTTAATAACTTGGTTCAAAACATTTAAAAAATTGATTTAATCTGTACAGCAATTAATGTTAATATTAATTTTGAAAATTTAAAATAACAGAAATTCATAAAATAATGAAATGTCCAATTAGTATGCAAGCTGATGCAAGCTAAGTTATTTCCAAATAATCCTTATCAGTTGAAATTCCATGAGTTTAATCAAAACGTGCAAAAAGCATTATTCTCAAAATAAAATTGATTAAAAGAGAGAATCAAGTACAAAAGTGTCTTGATAATTGTTCTGTGTCTAACTGAAGATTCAATTGTAAACCTCGTCTCTAAACGTGAAAGTAATAAAAAACTGAAGTATGTCAAAAACGTTTCTGTAAGTAATGAAATATACGTTTTCAAAAAATTAAAGTTATCTAATCCAAGAGTACGGAAATGATTAATCAAGTTTTGATCAGTTAACATTCTTGATCTTATTTTGGACTGATACGAACAATTCGATGGTTTCGACCGCTACAGTTTCCAAGAAAACTTGTGAAAATGTCTTATTTGTTTGTTTGTCTGCCTTACAAAATTCGAGGTTTCATACCCTGTAGTTCGAAATTTTCGAAAATTATGAAAAAATAAAAACCAGAGGTCGAAGCCGACATGAGTTCGCTCCGGTTCGCTAAAAAACCGATTCGATAGCCGGTAAATTTGTATAAAATGTTGTACTTCACAAGTGGCAGCAGAAAAAAATCTATTCAAATTTGAATCGGTTTTTTAGCGAACCGGAGCGAACTCATGTCGGCTTCGACCTCTGATAAAAACTTAAATAATGCATGATTTATATGAAATTTAGATGAAAATATTATGGAATCATTTAATAATATGCATAGAATAGCTAAATCTTTTTTAAATCCATCAAAAACACTACTAAAATGACTAGAAAATGGAACGGTTTTTTCAAATTTAAATTTTTTGAACGTGCCCCCGTGATTATAACACCCCTAGACTTTCGATAAGTTTGTCGAACATGAATTGTTCGTATCAGATTTTGGATATATTTTTTTCTGAGAGATCGAGATGAAAACAAATGAGAAAATATCAAAAGTTCATGCATTAACCAATTTTGATTATAATTTTTAATTTAGCTTTGTCTTATGCTTATCAATAATTGTGCCTGACCTTTCTGCATCAACTTTCTTTGAGTGTCACTATGACTTTTGGGAATATTATATTGTTGGCAACATTTATTACTGCTGGGTTCAAAATGAAGTTAATATGAGCTCAACAAAAACTGCATTTATTGAATCAGACCACGGTGAGCATAAAGATAACTTTACTAACCAAGATGTAAATGGAATTTGGATCGACAAAGGAATTATCAATTATTTTCCAAGAGGAATGGAAAAATTATATAAAAACTTCAAATTTTTGTATTTTGTAGGAGTTGAACTAAATGAAATTCGTCAATCTGACTTAAAGCCTTTCTCAAAACTTGTGACTCTCTATTTCCCTTGCAATAATATTGAAATGCTGGAGGTTGATTTATTTATTTTCAATCATAAACTCGAATTTATTGATTTGAGTAATAACAAAATTCAATTTATCAATTCTGGAGCTTTTGATGGACTTTACAAGCTATCCTACTTATCACTTGACAATAATATTTGTATTAATAATTCCACTGAAGAAAATGCAGATGATATAGAAGAGTTTATCACATCAGCAGAGTTTAATTGCAATCCAAAATTATTTAACCGACTTGAGAAAAAACTTCATAAATTATATTCAGAATTAGACAAGTTTATGACAATTGATTTCTATAAAAATTTTAAAAGCTTGAAGGAAGAACTTAAACATTCAAAATATGCTGATCATCCAATTTTTTTGAAGAAAATTGAAAAGCTAAAGGATGATTTGATTCAGAAGTTCTATTTTGAACTTAAAAAATATTCAAATTGAAATAAGTTTGAATATTTTTTCAACGATTACGATTACGTTTAATTGGCATTGATTAAAATTATTAAGTAATCGTTGTTTAAACATTAAGGTTGAATGAGAACGCAAAATAAAATTCCAAAAAAAATCTATTATTGCACATTGTTTCCTTACGTTTAAATTGATCCCCAACAAAAATAAATATCTAACCTCTTCAATCGTGAGATGTTCCAAATGGACATGAATAGAAGCTACAAAATAATAATACAGTATGAAATTCACGATCACAAAAACGGGAGTTAAAGAATACAATTGTAAAATGAATTGAGTATTGTACGTGCTTGAAGTTGATTAATTTCAACCTTTATTTTCGTCTCATTTCCCTTACACAAAATATAAAAGTAAAATTGCAACTCGACTGGCTGTTTTAGTCTCGCCAAATGCAGGGCGCCTTCATTTTTTTTAATTTTTGTTTTTAGATTTTAAGTTCTAATAAGTATGATTGCTAACCTTTTTTATTTATAACTTCCCATTTTCAAGAAACCTCTCAAATGAAATGGAATGGAAGAATACATAACAAATTGCAAAGCTTTAAGTTAAAAAAATTTGTAGCTTTCAACATTTGCCGTATCATCATGTTGCACCATTCCCATTTCATATTTACTTTTTGTGTTGTGTTACTTATGATATAAATATATATTTTACGATCAGTAAAGGAACGGAGTTGAGTCGAGGAACAAAATAAACATAAGAAAGAGCCAGCATAAAATTATGAAAATTATGATATCTTCTTAATGTTTCAGCAATCCACATGAATTTTAAATTCAATAAACATTGACTTCACAGCACGCATCCACAAGTTACAGGTACTGATTTCCGTCTCTCTCTCGCTCCTTTCTTCTATGTATGCTGTTTATATCACAACATAGTCGTATAGTGCGAGGTCTTTTGGGTGTATAGAAGTTAAGTTAAGGTCCATGTTAGCATGTTTGATTCCGTACTATAGATTAAAAATAACATATTTTGTTACTGCTATAAACAAGTCATATTCCATCTCTCTCATCCATTCATTCAACTGAGTTTATTGTATGAATGAAAATATTTTTTTTATATATTATTTGTTACTAGCTTGATTTTTTTGCATAACAAATTGAGGTACTCGAAGATGTTTGACTGGATGATGCTGCTTGTTTCTTCTTGAATTAACTGGGAATTTGAATATGCTTTGTGGTTTTCTTTTAAGTATTGTTATGAGGATCAATGATCGGGATGGTAAAGATGATGGTAATCGGGACAAGAATTAGTAGCCTGAAATAAAATTGTATATTAATAGCAAGGATTTGGAGTGTAAGTAAGAGTTTATGTCAAAAAAAGTTTTACATAAAAGTCGCAACATTTACGAACAACTCGAACAAAATGTTTCTTTGCTAAGTCACATCAATATCCTTCATTCTAGAGATCAAATGTTTATCCTGTTGAATTGATCTAAAAATAAAAATTAAATGAAAGAAGTGAAAAGTCAAAAAATAAGTTCATCAAAAACTTAAATGCATGCCTACCTCAAATTGATGCGTAAATTATAAATAAGGTCATCGATAGTCACCAGTACAGAGTTTGCGTTCTGTTCAACTCAAAATTTACATTTGATGCTCTCAGACCAGTAGTGAGTAGCTTGTGTACCAGAGTCCATACTAGGGTCTAAAATTAAAAACTGTTCTTATCGAGGGTTCATAGTAAATTGGATTGTTTTCATAAAGATCAGAGCTTCTAGAAAGGGGAGAATGCTGTGCTTATTTTTATAATCGAGATTTGGTCATAGGGTTGGTTTTTAAAGTTGGATTTAACAAGGAGTAGAATTGGGATTTTTTCGGATTTATTTCAATTCATTAATTCTCGTTATTCAAATCGAATCTACTCAAATCGAGGACCCATCGTATTGCTTTTTAGATATTTAAATTATCACTTAGTTTAAAAATGACTAAGTTCTTGGAAAAGTGCGCTTAATTCAAACTGAAAAACGATTAAAATTCAACATTATTTTCTTATTCACAAATTCTAATCTTCAACCCATCAACACATTTTAATTCAAAAAAATAATAATATTTAAAATCATACAAGGCAACAGCGAGAGCCTCTGAACGAAAAAAGAGCATCTCATCAAAATGACGTGAGCAGAAAAGAATTCATGAAACAAAATTTTGGTTGAATCATGCTGGCTTATAAATAAAGTGATTAATGAAGCGTAAAATATGTCAGCAACCAAATTCATTCTTCAAATTAGCATTTATCTATTTACTAATTTGTTAAATATAGAGAAGAGAAGGAACTCGTGATAAACAGCATTTGAATTTATCTTTTTTTTTTATTTTGAGGCACAACATTTCAGTTTCGAGAAGAAATTTAATCCCAAAGGTAACAAATCAATTATTAATAATTTCCAATAAAGCTCATAATTCATAAAAAGTAGAAATAAAAAATTTATTTAAATCTCAAATTTTTATCTTCATTTTTTTTTTGAGTAAAACAAGCCGCTATAAATTTTCAAGCAGCAAGAATATTGATAAACGTCTAAACGGTCTTGTTAGCTATGTAAATGTCTTTTTTTTTTTGAAAAATTATTTCCCGAACGGCTGAAATGAGCTGTTTGGTTTTATGGCTCATTTTTATCATATTCGTTGTAATTCAAATAATCAACACTGAAAATTATGATAAAGCTACAGCTATTACCATAATTAAACATGACAGAAATAAATAGAATAAATTACTTTTTACCTTTTAGACGTGCTTTTTACCTATGCGTGGTTATCGGTATTGATTATAGTTTACACTTTGGGTGAGGGTCCGAGTTTATTGCTGCTTCTATGATCAGATTTGAGTTTATTTATTTTTTGTAGGCACACAACTGGAGTATCAGGCTGTTTATTGCTTAAATGTCTGATTTCATTTTCTAGGAACACGTAAGTATTATAGATGAAGTTATTTTGGATCATTTGTTGATTATTTAAGTTTTGTATTGCCATGAACAATGTTTGAATCCTCGGCATATAACTCAGCAATTTTTATAATGATTTCAGATGGTGAAATTACGTAGAGGACATTGAGATATTCTCAAAACAAGCTGCTTTAAGTGCATTTTATTACCCCAAATAATATTCTGAAGTTTCTTTGCTAATGAAAATTGATCTCCTTCTTACCAATTTCCTTCCTTGAATATTCCACATTATAGCCATTTTCAAAAAACGATAGCAATTCCTGAAATTGAACTCTAATTATTTTAATGGTGTTCCAATGGATAGATTCAAACAATATTCAAAACAAAAAAAAATCCAAATGCGTTCCTCAACTAAATCCATAAGATTAGTGACAAAGTCTCTCATAACTTGTCGCATTCGATTTAGCCGGTGAATTATGAATTTCTAATTTATTTTTTCTCGCTCGTTTCGTTTCGGAAATTTTCTTTTGGCTAATCATAACAAATTAATTATTGAAAAATATAAGAAACAGAAATAAAATAACAATATTTTTTTGGTCTTCTTCTTGTTGCTGCCTCTTCGTGTCTCGAGATTTTTGAAGCAAGGTGTTGAATCTCTTGTTATATCTGTATTTAATCACCACACTTTAGTGACCATATATTTATTATTATTATTATTTCACCAAAAATATTTACTAAAGCACCAGCCTCGACGATTTTTCTTCTCTCCTATCTTTTCCTACTTCTTCTTCTTCTTTCTCCTCAATTTTTCTTATTATATATATTTTATGATGATAAATAATTTGAAGATTATTGAGACGTATGTTATATATGTGAGAAGATTTACACAATTATTACTTACTTCTTTTCTTACCCACATCGAATGTATCATAAAAGATGCGATTGCGTATACGTGTACGGTCCAGTTATTGTGAAAGATCATAAATCAATATATTGTGCATTTAAGGAGATATTTCTTCACTTTATACTGTCATTTTTCATGTAATCTATTGATAATAGTATTGTTTATGTCTATTCTTACTTTCTTTCTTACTTCAATTCATGACTATTGTTATTATTGTTATGAATGTGCTGTATGGTAGTTACTTATTACTTTGACCAAATTTTTGGGGATGCTGCTTTATGGGTTATTAATAGGGTGTAAAAGAGGAAATGATTTAGCATACGGTATTAAATGGCAGTAGCATAAAGGTTCTGTATTGAGTTGCTTGGAGTTGGATTGCATGCTTTGCTGTATGCAGTGCTAGTTACACTATTTCTGAATGGCGACTAATTTATTAAGATTCAAATTATGCTATAACTCCAACTCTTATTGTGCAGTATCCAGAGTGAGATCTAGTGAGAAACTAAGGTACCTGTGGCTTTGTGTTAAATGAAGCTCTTTGCTGAGAGGTTGTAAGTTCGATTCTCAATCGTTAATTAGAGTCAATGGAAGCTCTGCTTAATTAGAGTCAATGAAAGATGTTCAGGTTAACAACGAATGACATTATAAGATTAAAGTGTCCCTTATTTCTAAAAAGATTTGAAAATAGATGACATAAAGGATTCACTATATGTGACTTAATTTGGCATCTCAAAAATTTACAAAACAATCCTCTAACTTCTTTGTAGGATATTTTTAATCCCAATAGGATCAAGTATGAATTCTTTGGGGTATTAACCTTGATTCTGTGTGGAATACTTTGATAAGGATTATATAAATGATGAGGATATTAGTAGTCAGCACTATCAGGACATTATTGGCTTCATCAAGGACATAGGAATTTTATCATAGATAACTTGGGATGGAACAACAGATCATCGATCGCAGTGCCGTTTTTGCTCTAAGCAAAACCCTACATTACTTTCTATCTATTATGTGTGGAAGAAGAAAATATTTCTAGTCGCAAAATTAATTTTAAATTTTGTAGCCACTACATTTATGAAATATATATGAGCACAAATCACAATTTGCAAAAAAGTATTCAAAAAGAATCTCTTAATTGGCATCTCCCATCCTCTTCAAAGTGACCATGAATATCTCACCTCACAATTAATGAAATAATTATCACAAAAAAAAAATCTATAAATAGCAAAATTGTATTTTTAAAGTCAACAAAATATATCGCGACTGAAAGACTTTATGCAAATGAGTTTTTGGCACTGAACAAAAAAATTGACGAGCTTGCCGAAAGATTGTTTGTGATTAACAAATGTATGAGAGTAAATTAATGAATTACAAAAATGCCAAATATTTTGCCTTACAGTTCATTTATAATTTAAATAAGTGATGTCAAAGCTTTATTTTTGTGGGGGTGGAAGTAAGAATGTAGACGTGGAAAATCTGTATTAATTAGAGCTTGTTGAATTTAAATTTTTATGGGGTGAGAATTGATATGGAAGTTCAATGGAACTAAGCTACGTTAAGATTTGATAGTTGTAGGGATTACTAGTGCTAATCTTTATTTACATCAGCCAATAACCATTGAATTCTTTCAATAAAGTTCCCGTTATTCTCAAATCCTCATTTGCATAATTAGAAAATCTGAAAACAAGCACTTGAATTGTAGTTTATAATAATTAGTTCCTTAAACTCCGATTATATTCAAATTAAGTTCTTATCAAGCAATCAAATCAATCAATCACAATTACAAGTTAATTTGTAAATTATTAGCAGACGAAAATCATTGAATCTATAATTTTTGTACGATTACTAAGCACATTTGGTGAGCAACTTCAAAATTAATTATAAAAATACGACTCACGTTGAAAATCACGAACTTCCACGTCTGTTTTTGGTATATTGCAGTTCTCTAAGTTCTTGCACTAATCAATTTCAAATTCAAAAAGAACAGCTTCAACGAGATATAAAGAAGCTTCATAAAATTCATGAACAAGCTTTAGCAGAAAACATGCAGAAATCGATGAAATGGAAGGACAATTTAGTCAACAGCAATAAAGAATGAATCTAAAACGAAAACAGCATAAAAAGGTTTAGGGAAAGCAATAGATCAATCCCGGATTTCCAAGATAAAGTTGTAAGACTTAAAGATAATTTTCTTTCACGTTTGTGCTGATTTTAAACGTGAATTTTCATAGTTGAAACCACAATATGCAACAATTTACAAGAACCGCCTGATCAGGAACGTCAAAAACTGTCTTTATTTGAAACTGAACTGCCTTTTTGGAAACTCGTTTTATTTTTCAATAAGAAGTTCTTATAATTTGACATTTTAATGTTGCAGCATGATTTGATCTTCAGTTTGATTCTGACTTACTTGTGAGATCAAAACTTCCTCATCAGAAGTGAGAACCTCAGCATAAAGATTTGGTGTGCTCGCAGATATTTAATTCAATTTCACCTTGCAATAATTTTATTCTGAATTTGCTGTAATTTTGTAAATTAATCGCAACACTCATTGAAAAGTGAAAATTCACTTTTGAAAGAAAAATTTTGTTTAAACCAATAGAAATAGCCAGTCATTAAGTGGAGGAGGGCTTCAAAGTGAAAGAGAAATTCAAAAGAGAATCAATGTGTTGTTTCAAATATGAACAATTAAGAGGTGAACAGTGATATTCAAAAAAAAATCAGTGATGTTCAAAAAAGTTTGTACGAAAGCTGCAAATTTAATTGATGAGCTAGGATTGTTTGAAGAATTATGAAGCATATAAGAAAATCTGTATCTACATTCAACGTATGAAATTTTATCAGCTAAAGCAGGAAGATGAGGAGTCATTTGACGAGTTTCTGCCAATTGTTCGTGAATTAACCTCAACATGCTCATTCGACATAAAGGTAAAAGTAATTCGTGATCGCATCAGAAAAAATGATGTTTTTTCATTTGAATTCCCGTGTTTTGTTCAATGCAAAATTAAGATTTGAATCGAGCAAATAAGAATTAAACATTAAATCGAGTCAACAAAGATGACAAGTTTAAACCATACGGTATCCTTAGATAACTTCAGTCATTTTCTAATGTTTAGCACATTTCAACTGTTGCTTACACAGCCATACCTTGAGATCTTCATGAATTAAGCAAGTTGCTATCTTTTTACATGACAAGCTCATCTCAATCGATTTATGTAGAGCACTTTCAATATATCAGCCCCCTGGTACAGCTCATGCAATTCATCTTAATGTTGACTTTTGTATTCTTCTCCATTTTTTACGAAGTCAAAAATCGTTCTTAGAACGCTTCTCTCAAAAACATCAAAATTTTTCATCCGTAGTTGTTGCATTCAAACTTAGATCCATATAATACAATCATTCTGATCAACCTCTTACATTAGTTTTTCTTCGTGCCTCTTCATACACTTTTGAATGCTAATACCTCTTTATGTTTTTTGACTTTAGATTGTTTAACAAGAGTGGGTTTGCCAGGTCTCAAATTTAAACTAACCTTCTTCGCACTGTTTGAACAATTTGGCATCGTCAAGCAATAAAAAGAGATAAAACCTGGACCTTAAAAATTGATTTCGGCATACAGAAACGGACAAGAAGCAAGTGAAATGGATATAAAATTCAATTAGCTTTAGACAGATACATCGGATCGATTAGGAGCGTGCTTGAAACAAGGCAAACAAATTATTGGCCATGCTTCAAAATGTCTCTCAGATACAAAAAAAGGAGTATAAGCAGATTGAAGAAGGGTTTCTGTTTTTCTGATATAAGCAGTTACACAATTATTTATGTGATCATCTAGAGACTGCTAAATCTGATCATCAACCTTTAGAAACCATTTTATTCAAGAGTGTGGAACTAGATCATTTTTGATCATTTCATCAGTACCACACCCTTGATTTTATTAAGGAATACTATAAGTATGTAAAAAGTTTTAATAGATTTTGTTCTTTTAGTTTTTAAGGTTTCAGGCATTTAATTTGCCAAACGTCGTTTATATTTTGATTTAATTTGTGTTTTTTGCTTTGCTTGTTGTTTAGGTTGATTTATTCGGTGTTTCTCGGTACAACAAGATTGGCTAAGCAATAGATCAATTTCAAATCCATAATTTCTTCGGATAATTAAAAGCACCAGCAATGGAAGCAGTCAAAACTTAAGCAGTTCAGATTCAGTGGTAGACACATTTTTCGAGTCTTTGCGTTGGGTGATACAAAATTGGGAATCCCTCAAAGACAACACAACAAATAAATGTTCAAAGGACTTCGAAGCAACCGGAGATCCGAAGATCTTCACGAATTCTAAAACAAGTAAATCTAGATGAACAGACTTTAAGTAGAAGATGTTGTGATATTTTAAAT